TCTCTCTCTCTCTCTCTCTCTCTCTCTCTCTCTCTCTCTCTCTCTCTCTCTCTCTCTCTCTCTCTCTCTCTCTCTCTCTCTCTTGCACGCACACACGCGCGCGCGCCACAGGCCGACACACACAGGCATGCATACACCCACCCACCCACACACACACACAACAACATGCCCGCACGCCCACATGCACAGGCATGCATACGCCCACACCCATCCACACCCACCCACACACAAAGAAAAAGAAAGAAAGGCACCGTAGCCTTGCCTAATCGGCGGAATGAATGAACATACTCACACGCGCCCGCATGGGATCAGCAAAATACATTTAGAGGAGTTGGGGGGTAAAATCTAGGCTACTTGTTGGGCTGCCCGGCCGTGCAGACCGGGCCTGCCATCCGGGCAAGCTGCCTGAACTGGCATCGGGCAAGCTGCCTGGGGGTCTGACGCCCAGGCGGTTTTGGCGCATCCCAGGAGGATCCAAAATCCAGACTCTTTTCTTTCTTTGAGTATTGGCTGGCAAGGGGAGGGAAGGGGGTTGCCTCAGTCTCTTTCTGTTATGTCATATTTTCTTTTCTTTTCTTTTCTATCTTCGCTTTAGTAAGGGATTCTGATGTGACCCTCAACCCCAAGGGTCTGTATATGTGTGTGTGTGGGTGTGGGTGTGGGTGTGTGCGTATAACGGTCTGTATATGTGTGTGTGTGTGTGTGTGTGTGTGTGTGTGGGTGTGGGTGTGGGTGTGTGAGCGTGTGTGTGTGTGTGTGTGTGTGTGTGTGTGTGTGTGTGTGCATTGCGATTCTACACAACATTTTTTTTTCCCTGTTCTTTTTTTTGGCGCAGCGCCGGTCCGAAACCCTGCCAGGCCAGGCACGTGGGCATGCATCCAGGCACAAGTTGGGTGTCTGGGCGCCCGGAACACGCCCCTGGTTGAAATGGAAGCTCTTAATTTTTCTTACAAAGGCACAGAATTATTCATGATTCTTTTCGACAAAGCCATGAAATTGAATGCAGTTTATTTTGGGACGTAAATTGGGTTATTCTGATTTATTTGGGGACGTAAATTGGGTTATTCTGACTCAGGGTATCTTAAGTGGAATCCAGCCATCCCCTGCGGCCAAGAGGCGCTGCATCAGTGTTCCGGAATCCAAAGGGGCATTTTGCAGTGCAGAGGGAGTAGGTCTGTGTGAGTGTGAGCATGGCGGACTCTGTGAGCATGAGCATACCTGACTGTGTGAATGCGCGAGAATGCCCCAAGGACGCCCGGACATCCCAGCACGATGACGGACATCCACCCCCGTGGCCGGGTGTATGCGTATGAAATTGGCCGCCGGAGACCTCCAAGGGTTTTCCTTGGGACCCATCGAATTAGGAAGCGGTGTAACGACGACGCCCTCCAAAATATTTTCCAAAATACTTCATCCTAATTCCTGATGATTTTCCAAGGAGGGTCTAATGAGGCCCTTATTCTGCCCACGTAGTTGCATCTGTATTTGAACATGTAGTGGGCCAGGGCGGCTGTTCTCTCTCAATATGCGCCTCACTCCACTACTCACCGCATGAATAAAAGACAAAAAAATATGGCGGTGTATCTTCTCGCGTTCTAGGTAGGGGAAGATTCATTCCCGTTTGCTCATTTGGTGGAGGCTGTGGACCAAGGTTGGATATACTAAACAGCGGTGAGATCAGCAAAAGCGGCCTAAGCAAAAAAACTGCAAGTGTCAGATGACTCAGATCTTTTTTTTTTTTTTTTTTTTTTTTTTTTTTGGGGGGGGGGACAACTGTCAGATCTCCTTTTCGCAGGCTTCGAACGGACGCCAGCAAACAACAGAACGGAGAAAGCTCCTGTGTACTTGTATTCGAAGAGCTGGCAAGGAACTCCTGTCCAACCTGCTAGAAGAAACCACCAGGATAGAGGTCTTGCACAAGGGCCTTAAAAAGAAAAAAGAAAAAAAAAGAAAAGAAAAAAAGAAAGAAAGATAGAAGGAAAGAAAAAGAAACCTTGAGCGTGGCCTTCGATCTGGTGCAAGTTCAAAAAAAAACGAAAAACAACTCCACGCAACCCTGGAAACCCCGGCCTCAGGGCCCCACCACACCACTCGAGAAATGTGAAAAAGACAAAAATGTGGCAGGCGCATCTGGCCATGTTGTAGCGGGGAAGTTGATTCTCATTTTGCACATTTTGCGGCGATGCCCTCACTCGGAGCTGTGTCGCCACGCGCCCACCCACATGGAAAAAGCACTCAACAGTGAGCCTCGATCCCGCCCCAGCGGCAAAAAAAATAAAAATGAACTTGGTCTGCTGCTCAGCGGGGCATCGTGTGTCCCACAAGATGATCGTGTGGACCTCATTTTTGCTGGGCCCGTGGGGAGTGGCTTATGGGAACCGTTTTTTGCTTTAGGTAATAGATAGGCAGATAGATATGTAGGTAGATAGATAGAAAAGGGAGGCTAGAATCTCCACAGAGGACTGTTCTCCACCCTCGCAACACCACTTCGATTTGGCAAAAACATCCGGCACGGTTGCAGCCAGAAAAAAAAATAGAAAAAGGTTGCGGCCAGAGCAAGCCAGTTAAACCACCAGCTGGTATAAATCCATTCAATTGGGAACTCCGCGGCTTTTTTCTTGACTGGCTTTTAATGAGCTGCGTCTTGCGGAAGTATTGGTGGTTTAAATTGTGTGTGTGTGTGTGTGTGTGTGTGTGTGTGTGTGTGTGTTTGGCCGTGTGGAGTTTTATATTTGCTAGATGCGTCAAGGTGCCTTCACGGGTTTCCATCGCTGGGGTCTGATCATAATCTCAATCACAATTACGATCGCTCTGTATAAACCTAGGAGTCATCTTCAGTACCCGTCTGCTAAAGAGCCAGCCGATGGGTATCTTTTTCTTGTTTTTGTTTTTTAATCTTAAACCACCATTACCTTTCACAAACAAACTCGAAACGTCCTAAGAATATGTGTGAATAATCTATGACCTGGGCGCCACCGGACCAAAATGACCTAAAGAGCCGCATTCTTCGGAGGCTGGGCGCCACCGGACCGAAATGGATGGCAGGCTCGGCCGAAAAAAGACGAAGGCCCACTGGCGCTTCGGCAAATCTTGGCGCGCAGTTCTTTTCCACGTCGGCAATAAGCGGCTGGGAGGTAGTTGTGGTTTGAGCTCAGTGGACTCTTTGGATGGACCTTTTTCAATCTGCTTTCCCACTTTTCTTCCTCCGTACACAAACAATGACACGCGACAGTTAAAAAAAAGAAATAAGTTCAAATAACTATGCCCAGGTGCGGTGCGGAGTCCGCAGGAATAACAGAGTACACTGCAAGTTCGGGCCGAGAGCAGTTCGAAACTGCAAAAGGAACAGGTACCGCTGCAGCTCTACCCGGTTGAAAGTTTGTAAGTCGTATTTGCCTTTTTTTTTTTTTTTGTCTTTTTTTTTTTTGTTTTTTTTTTTCCACGCCTGCGGCTGGGCTACGGTTGATTTTTGGGAAAATTTT